TGAAAGGCCAGCTCGGTATGTTTTCAACGAGGGTTTGCGGAGTCGGAGCAAACAGGGAATAAGAATTTCAAATTTAAGCCGTTGCAAAGCGAAGACAAGAAATAAATCTTTCAAATGAGATTTTTGTTTGATGAATTCAAACTAACATTATGCCTCTCTCAGATCGTGTTGAGACAAAATTTTCAATTTGAAAGGGGTTGTTTGTCTGTCCTTATAGTACAGTCTAACATCAGCGCTTGTATTCTTACCTAATTTATGCAAATAGGTAGACATTTCTTTCGCAGTTAAAATATCTTACGAAAGAAACTCTGGACTAAGACACTTGCCAAACCGACTGAACTAATGACAAATACCACTTGTAATTATATAAAGCTAGAATCATTACAAAGCAATAGTGTCGGCTTTATACACTGAACACGGTCGGACAGGTGTTTCACTAACTCCACGACGCTATTTTTATGTTGCGGGATTTTGGCTTGAGTTCTGAACTCGGAACAAGCCATCGCCTTTCCGCTAAATCCTGCTCTCTGGCTACACCCAGGTGCAAATAATGTTTCAGAAATTGTGAAATTATGTTTCCACATAGGGTCAGATAAAAATGCAAATTTTAGGCAACACCACAAAGTTCGACGTTGCGAATGCCTTTGCTTCAGTGGCGCCTACCTTTTCATGTTTGGTCGCTAGCTGTGAATTCTTTTCATATTTTTTCATCTTCATTTTCTTTCCCTGACCTAACCATGGAATAAATATTTAATACCCGGTATAATTAATTAGCCTTTGAATTCATGTTCTTCTTGTTCAATCGGTACTTGTTATTGACTAATCACTTGGAAAAGCAAAGCAAAACGCCATGCATCCTTGAAGTTTCTCTGTTAATTGGGACCACTAAGAACCATGCATTTCAACAAGTCCATTTTGTGGGAAAATTTGATTTTTCCTAAAATTGTTTCAATAAGGCGGCGCCATAAACGATATACCAATATATAAAAATGTCGGACATGGAGCGAATTCGATTACGTTTATCGGGCAGCGCAGTGAATCAAAAAGCAAAGTTACCGTTGTTAGATTGCTCATTTATGTCACCATAATAATTAAAAGAATGAGAAAAGAGACTTAGAAAATCAGAAAGAGATTGCGACACATCTTCAGAGTTTACGACAATCAATCGAAAGTCAGTCTGGAGTGGCGTTAAATGATCCGTTCAAAATTATTTTCTAAGCAAAGAAACTTTGAACGCGCGTAGTTATCATTTGGTCATTACAAAAACTTTTCTTGACAAGTTTTATAGCATGCCCAAGCTAAGAGAATTCGTCCACGACAAAACCAAAACATTATTTAGAATCGCTTGGCATTTCTGAAAAAATATCGAGTACTCTCAGAGGGTTTCAACTGAAATGTTTGAAGATATTACTGAACGACTGTTGACTCCGGAGACTGAGCACGAAAATTGACTAAGCGTTGAAAACTCAAGATTTTATAGTATGGCCAAGTTCGCAAATTTGCTCAACCACAAAACCAAAATCGTAGTTGAATGAAACCCTTGACATTTCTAAACTAAACAGAGATCTACTATACCGAGAAGAGTTAAAATTGTTACATATATTCCGTAGAAATTCCATACTAATTTCAGACTGCGGGGTATCTAAACTAGTTTATTGAAAACACTTCCCGGTTGCCGGATATCTAGACAAAATGAATATTAAAACCTGGCATCTTTTTTTTTTAATTTCCTCGCAAAGGTTCTATCATGCAAATTGTAGAAACTGTGTTCAGAATCAAGAGACTATGAAATTGCATGCACTCACTGAACATATGACAAAGGTTCGCTTCGAATATTATAGTCATGAAATTAAACATTTCTGAGGCCCTGTCCATACTACGCAGGATAAAATTTGAAAACGGCGTTTTCACTCTGAAAACGCATCGAATGTTTTCCGTCCATTCTACGGCGGAGAAATTTGAAACGCAACAATCACCGTGAGCTGAAAAGTTTGAGTCCCACCTTGAGGGTTAGGGTTATTCAAATGATTATCAAGATGCCATCGTTTTAGTAAACCTCCTATTTCCAAAGAAATTTTATTTCTGTCTACAGTAAAACTCAAAGCCGCTGTTTGCAAATTCCTCCGGTTTGGAGAGCGTTTTCGAAAAGCAATAAAGCTTCGTTTTCAAATTTCTCCGGCGTAACGTGGATGGGGCCTGGTATGGAAAAAATAGATTTTATGCAAAAATTAAACTATTTTGAAAGAAACCTGCGCTTTCTTGAGTGAGCAATAATTGCGGTTACATAGTAAAATTCAATCAACATCGATATTTCATTACACGTCCTTCCATTTACCACTTTTCACTCCTACGCCAAATCAAAACGCTCTTGGCATCCGTCAATTAGGCAGCGGCACCTTTCATGTCTGCCGAAGCGAAGTGCCTTCACATTCACGGCGAAAGTATTGGCAATGGCGAACTTTTCAGTAAGTTTGAATGCGAACAAAGAAGATAGCTGTGATTTTGTATTGTTGCTTGAGCCAAATTCTTTAGTTGTTGTCGTCGGAAGACCTCGGTGGGAAGTCTATCGGCCTCTTGTCGACGCTTCTCTTCTAAATTGTGGAGCGCGAGGCAAACCACGATGACACAAAACAAGTCTTTCCTTTTATACCCTCAGTTTATTTGAACTTGCAAAAATGAGAAACAAATCCCATATTTTATGTCCCTTATGGTCTAGATTATTGCCATACAGTCCGTAACAAGTTTTTAAATTATTACATTGTTAAGCGTTTTAAATCCGAAAACCCTTTTCTTAATCAAGATGCAAATAAGTCAAAAACCAGTGAAATTAC